GCCTGCTCGGGGAAAAGCAGCTTTTTGCAAGTTGCCACCTTGACGAGCGTTTTTCGGGTGTGATTTCCTGCCAAGCCGGGACCGCGGGTGGCAACAAAATCTCCGCAGATCCCATCGGAGTGCAGCCTTTCTCCAGACCCAGCCCTTTTTAGGTGTTACGCTGGGAAACTGCCCGTCGCCTGCGGCTGCGGGCTCGGCAGGACTGTGTGACACCGACGAGCAGAGTTGTGCTGGAGCGCTGGGACATGCTGTCGGGAGAGTGCTCTGGGAAGGATAGTTCGTATGGCTTGCTTTATAATCTCTCTATCCAGTAATAGGTGTTTAGAGGAATTTCTTCTAAATGCTAGCGTGTGTAAGACTTCTAAATGTAAAGTCTAATAAACGGAATACTTTCCCCGGCCACCCCACTGTTCTTAACTAGCATTGACTTGGTGTCGTGGAATTCAAAGTCCAGCCTTACCTGCAGTATTTCAAAAGTTTAATCTCAAACTCTAGTTTATTTTTCTGCCGCTTTATCTTCCATAATGAATGTTGAACCTTCCCCTAACAAGGTACGAGTTAAAGTCTACCTCCAGGATATAGGTAACACCTGTTTGAGGTAGGAGTAGTGGTAAATGCAAAGAAATGCAGGCAGGCAGTCTCCCCGTGTGCGACTTGCCGATGATTCCTGCTAGTCCACAAAGCCAGTTTTATCACTGCTGATGAAGAAAAACAGGGATTTTGACCATCAGGGTGGCCGGGCACTAACGGGATCGGACAGGTTGGAGCCCTGGAAGGGGAGACTCAAGGTCGCTGCATGAAATGGAGTTATTGGCAAGACTCTTAACAGCTGCGCACAGTTAAAGTAAGTGTGTGATCATTGAAGTCCTGCTTTAATGTACATTTGCCTTCATTTTGAACCGATTGACCTAAGCCCTACTCCTAAACCCCAAAAGGCTAAACCCCCTGCTACCAAGTCAGTTAGGACTCATACCGGTTGCATATAAAAAGCAAATTAACTCCCATTAAGTTGATTCCAACTCATAGTGACTATAGGACAAAGTAGAAGTACCCCTTTGGGTTTATGAGACCTTCAATCTGTACCAGAGTAGACAGCCTTATCTTTCTCCTGCACGGTGGTTAGTGGTTTCGAACCACAGGTTTTGTGGTTACCAGCTCTGTGTAAGCCCCTCTGCCACCAGAGCTTCTCTGACTGCAGATAAAAAAACGTCACTGGCATCCAGTCAATGTGGACTCATAGCGACCATACTGGTCAGGGTAGAACTACCCCCGAGTTCTGAGACTAACTCTTTACTGGGGAAGAGAGCTCTGTCTTTTTCCCCACAGAGCAGCTGGTGGTTTGGAAGGGCTGACCTTACAGTTCCCAGCCCAATGTGTAACCACTATGTCATCAGGGCTCCTACAAACTGTATATGGGGTTCCCAAAATTGGGAATCTTTGCTTTCAAGGAGCAGATAGCTTCATCATATTCCTAAGGACCGTCTGGTGGTTTTGACGTGCAGACAGCTCAGCACTTACCCCACAGTGCCACCAGAGCACCTTGTCCCCATCCTCACTCGAAACAAATTCTTTATCACAGTCACAGTCCCTTGATGCACACCCAACTTTTTAAAAAGGATATATATATATATTTCAAGTAACTGCAAATAGGAGACCAGAAAGGGACCCCCAGGTGGGGGGACATAGAATGGCTCCCCCTTCCTGTCAGAAGAAGGGGAGAGGGCGGTCTTACCCCCTCCCCAGTCAACATGTACCACACGTGCCCTCCTCACTCTGCTGCCGCTTCCGAGGACTAAGCCCCACCCTCCTTGGGACTGGGACTGGGCTGGTCAATAACCCAGCCTGCTGGGCCTGGCCCCCTTTGCCTTGAGGAAGCATCCTGGGGGAGGGGGCGAGAAGGATGACCATTCGGCACTGTACCAGCAGGGACGACAGATGTCTGAAAACAACACGCTGATCAGAGGTAGTTTGTGAACAGAGGGAAGATGGATCCAGAACCTTGGGGGCAGGGTGGTGGTGGCAGAAGGGAGCAAGGTGAGTTCCTTGGTATTAATGCCCCATTTGAAGGGGGAAATGGAGGCCTAGAGTATAAGCAGACAGCGTGGGGTGTGTGGCCCATACCATCTAAGTGGCAGCCACAGGCACCCTGGGCCTTCTTGAGCTCACCTGCGAACTCCAGCAATGCAGGAAGGGGGGGATGGCTGAGTCCCTCCTGCCTTCCTGTACCCCTAGGCCACACTAACAAAGGGACGGAGGAATGGGGTTATAGATGGGGACACACTGAGGCAGAGAAACCCCACATGGATCACACCTGCTGCTGCTAGTAAGGTAGAATGGGTGTTCAGAAGATGGGGCATGGACCTCTTTAAGGCCCTTTGTGGGAAGCCCGAGGGAAGAGATCCCTTTGTGGGGACCCACCTAGGTCCCTTTGTGGGGAGCCAGAGGGAAGAGTGGGAGCAGGTGGGCCCAGATAGCAATGTTCCCACCCCTGAGAAGACAGGGATGCAGCAGACACACACACTTTTTAAAATTTTAATATTATTTTATTGGGGGCTCTTACAGCTCTTATCACAATCCATCCATACATCCATTTTGTCAAACACATCTTTACATATGTTGTCATCATCTTTTTCAAAACATTTTCTTTCTACTTGAGCCCCAAGCATCAGCTCCCCACCCCCAACATGCCCCCTTGATAATTTATAAATTTTTGTTCATGTTTTACACTGACTGCTATCTCATTTCACACACTTTGCTGCTGCCTCTCCGCAATCATCGTGATGGGTCACCCCCCCCCACCCAATCATCGTGATGGGTCACCCCCCGCCCCAAGCTCTCTACCTTCCTAGTACTGCGCTGCTCCTCTCATCTGTTCTGGATTCTCTGTGTCTCGAGCTCTTAGCTGTACCACTGGTAAGAGAGAATTGGAGTCATGGTAGTTGGGGGGAGTGGGGAAGCATTGTGGTACACACAACTTTTAAATCAATGAAAAGGCCTGGAGCCCTCCCACCGCACCCCCACTCCCCACCCCCCAGCTAACTGCTGTGGAGTCCGTTCCAATTCAAAGCAACCTTGAACAGGGTAGAATTCCCATGAGTTTCTGAGGCTGTAAATCTTTACCAGGAATAGGCTTCATTTGGCAGCTCTGAACAGCTAGTTGATTCAAACTGATGTCCTTTTGGTGTTAGCCTAGTTGTCAACCTACTATGCCACCAGGGCTCCTTTCTTGGTTGAAACCCAAACCAGCCAAACCCACTGCTGTTGAGTTGTTTCCAACTCACAGTAACCCTGGGTAGAGTTTCCAAGGTTGTAAATCTTTCCTGGAGCAGCCAGGATGGCTGGCCCCCTTCCCCCTTCCCCTACTCCAGTGAGTCCACCCCGACTACTACTGCTCACTGCCCTTAAGTTGATTCCGACTCACAGTAGAACTGCCCCTGTGAGTTTTTGAGACTGTTACCCTTTATGGGAGTAGAAAGCCTCGTCTTTCTCCCATGGAGTGACTGGTGTTTTTGAACTGCTTACCTTGGGGTTAGCAGTTCAATACATAACCACTATGCCACCATGCTCCTGAGAGCCAACCCTCTACTCCCAACAAATTCTTCATCACAATCACTTTACTTGTTGCATGTGCATCCTTTTAATTATGGGAAAGACTTTTAGCCTTTTCTTGCACTAAAACCAATAAGTAAAAAAAGCCCACAAACAACAACCACCTCAAAACCCCTCACTGCCACTGCATTGATTCTGACTCATAGTGACTTAGGGTTCCAAGACTGTAAATCTTTATGGGAGCAGATGTTCGCAGCTTTCTCCTGCAGAGCAGCTCTTAGGTTTGAATTGGCAACTTTGTGGTTTGTAGCCTAAGTACCTGCTTTGACTTACTTATAAATTCTGCTTAAAAGACACACGTAGTGGTTGGTGTACACATTTGAATCAGTAGCATTAGCTGGTCGTTCGCATAAACCTTTGGGTGTTGTCCTGCCACTGACAGTGTTGTACTTCAGGATAGATCTCAAAATATTCTTTTTGAAAATGAAGGTGACTGTTCAATTTGTCATTTTGGGCTTTTTGTATGATTGTCTGGTTCAGAATGGTCAGCACCAATTTATTTCAGCTCAGAAATGCATAAGACACCAATCATCAAGCACTGCATATCATTTTTGACAACACCCAATTTTCCTTGATCCAATACTGCATACATTTCAAGTTTTAGTTACTAATGTACGTGTGTAGCTATTTTTTTCTCACCTTGACTTGTGCCACATCAGCAAATGAGGCTCTAAATCGTTGAAGTTGATTGAACTTCAAGGATCCCCACCAGCTAGCTACTCCTTAGGCAAAGCCTTCAGTTCTCCTAAAGATTGATAGCCGTGGAAGCTGTAGATAGAGTGGCTCTGAATAGAGTCCATGCGATGGTAGTGAAATTGGTACATATACATTGGTACACATGCAGTACACATTGCCTGTTAGGAGGCAGTTCTGCCTCACTTGTATTGGGGGTGCCTTCTTTCCTGAGCGGCTCATCTTCTGGCACTGTATCAGATCAGTGTTTTTGTGCTACCCATAAAGGTTTCACTGTTTAGTTTCTTTCAAAGCTACATCACCAGTTAGGCTCTTCTTCCTAGTTAGAAATATGGATCAGTAGTTGGAATATATG